GGGCGGCTGGACCTCGGTCCAGTGTGACAGGCGGCGCTGCTGGACGGCAGTCCTCGACCACGAGACTCGTCCCCCGGTCCTGCACACACGGAGCAGGTATAAAGGAGCGCGGCCGGGACTGACATTTCCTTTTCCCCGAAGCGGGTTCGCGTCGTCATTGTAGTTGGTCCTCTCTGCCGCAGACATGTCGTCGCGGTGCTCCAAAGGGCCGCTGCTGCTGCTGGGGCTGGTGTGCCTCTGGGCCGCGCTCGGTGGCCTCGTCAGCGCCACCCCGGTAAGGATACCACGAGTACACTGTAAAGCCGGGGTGTCCAGCAGGTAGGCGACAAAGTCGCCTGACCGGCAAAACCAGGTGACTTATGTCGACCATCTGCTAGACACCTTCTGTTCTTCCGGGTAATTGCATTGTATGAGTCCATATGCATTTCACCCATTGTGCCCATGCAATTGTCCGGGAGACCAGAAGGTGTCCAGCAGATAGTTGACATAAGTCGCCTAGTTTTGCGGGTCAGGCGACTTTGTCGCCTACCTGCTGGACACCCCGGGTTGACAGTGTACTTTAGGGGTGCAAATATCATGGCCCACCCCAGGATCACGGTCGGCCACATGTTGGGGGACAATGATATTTATACCCCGGGCTGCAAATGTCATAGGATCCCTAATGAGATTCGGGAGCCATGGTATTCGTACTCCCTCTTGATGTGCGCGCCCCCTTTCAGGCGGTGGACGACCCCTCCAAGGCGCCGCAGACGGTGCTGCCCACCGAGTACGCGCTGGACCTGCAGGTGGTCAACGACCCCCAGCAGCAGGAGCCCACGTACAACCTGACGGGCCGCGTGTCCATCACCGTCACCTGCCGGACGCCCACGGACCGACTGCACCTCTCCGTCGGCGACCTGGTGCACGTCGGCGATGACGCCGTCCTCACGTAAGTCCAGAGAAATCCAGCGAACTATTTTTCAGCGTTCGTATTGTGTTGCCTCGGTTCTGCCGAAAAGGCGTAGTGCAATTTTTGAGTTGGCTTTTAAATTAATTTTTACCGGAATAGGTCGACGCTGACGGGTGACGAGACGATGAAGGTGGTGCGGTACCCGGCGGGTAAGCACTGGATCAGCCTTCAGCTGCCCAAGACCCTCAAGGCCGACCACTCGTACCAGCTCAAGCTAAACTTCAGCAGGCCCGTCATCACGGAAGTGCAGAACAAGGAGTGAGTCCCTCGCACACCCCGACCCTCATCTTCGGCTATTCAAACAATTTTTGGAAGATTTCTAGGTGAAAAATATACAAACATTTTGACATATGTGTTTCTGCAGCCGGCTGTACCACGTGGCGCTGCTCGTGCCGCCGGGCCAGGCCGCCCACTACTTCCCCGTCTTCAACGCCAGCGACTACAAGGCGCCCTTCGAGGTGAACGTGACCCACCTGCAGAAGTACACGTCGCTGGGCGCCGCCAAGGCTCGCCAGGTCATCAAGGTAGCTGCCCCCGCCCCCCATCCACCTGCACGCCTCACTTGGACCGGAAAGGCCACCCCTCTGGCTATTGAGATCATGCGACGCGTAAGGAAACCACCTCACACCTCTCGAACAGGCGAGGGCGGAGAGACGCCTTTTTTGGGTGAGCACGAAGCGGCACACGGACACCTTGGCTCGCTTCGTTTCTCTTTGGTGCCGGTGTGTGGTACTTTCCGCCCTCACTGTTCGAGCTTCCTTCTCTACTGCTACTTACGATGACTCCTGTCCCCTCGCTCCTCCGCCACCCTCCCTGACGCCTCCTCTCCTTGTCACGAGGTGTCCTTGACCATGAACGTGCGGTCCGTCGTAACTCCCCCACCGCGCTCGTGTGCGTCCGGCAGGTGCTCGAGCGGCCAAAGAACACCACCGGCGACTGGGTGCTGACCGCCTTCGACAAGTCGCAGCCCATCACCATCCGGCAGCTCGCCATCCTCGTCGGCGACTTCAAGCTCGTCAACGAGTCCACCATCCCTAGTAAGTGCTCAGTTAAAATATCAGTCCAATACAGAAATTTTATTTTTCGGCAAAAAAATTCAGAGATATT